TTGATGTGTGAACATGACCTATGATCAACCTGAAGATTTTGATGGGGAAGAGTTTCCGAATGAGAAAGCGCTAAGATTTTATCAATTGTTGAATGAGATGAATACGCCATTGTTTGAGGAGTCGCCAGACTCAAAGTTATCAATGTGTGTGAGATTATTGGCTGCCAAGTCAAATTGGAATGTTCCTGGTCAATTTTTGGAATTCTTCACAAAAATGATGTTGGACTCAATTGCAACGAAAGACAACTTGCCTATAAGTTATTATGATGCAAAAAAGTTGGTGTCAAAGTTGGGTTTAGAAGTAAGAAATATTGATTGTGGCATTAGTAGTTGCATGTTGTTTTATGACAATGAGTTTGGTACTCAAGATGGATTTTTGGAGGAATGTAAGTTCTGTAAGAGTCCAAGATATCAAGTTCGCAGTAAAGACATTAACCGTAAGCAAAAACGTGTAACAGTAAGTCCATGTTTTATCTTCCTATAATACCAAGATTAAAAAGAATGTTTGCTTCAATGCACAATGCAAGTCAAATGATATGGCATCATACAAACCAAACAATTCCAGGCACTATGCGACATCCATCTGATGGCGAGGCATGAAAGCACGTTGATCGAACACATCCTAATTTTGTCGCAGAACCTAAAAATGCTAGGCTTGGATTATTCTCTGATGGTTTTGCTCCATATGTCCAAGCGTCGGGAAGCGTGTATTCTTGTTGGACAATTATTGTAACCTCTTATGATCCTCCCTTTATAAATAGGTAAAATGCCACCCTAATTTGATAAGATTAAAGGTAGTGGTAGTGGTAAGAAGATTGGACGCCCGAGGATAGTAGTATGTCAATCACCTTCATCGACCTTGTGTCCCCCCCCCCCCCCCCCATAAAGTCAGGTACATGATATGTCCATGGCCAATACTCAACCGCTTTTGCCATTAATATCCCCTCACTTCCCTATGTTCTCATTTGGGAGTGCATCTTTTATTAGCCTGCAGGTTCCCTCACGCTTCCAGTAGACTGGAGGACCTATCTATCCATCATACCAGTAGATTGGGGGATCTAAATTTCCACCTCCCCGACAAATGTCGCCATCCTTCCAGCAGACTTGGGGACCTCGTTTTCCATTTCAGCAGACTGTGGGATTTAGCTTTCCACCTTCCCCACAGGTTCCCTCATCCTTCCAACAGACTAGGGGATCTAGCTTTCCACCTCCCCTGCAGATTGGGGGATCCCACACTCCACATCCCACACGAGTGCCTTCACCATCCATGCAGATTGAGAGATTCCACACCTCACCTGCCACATATATACCTGCAAGTGAGGATGATCATACGGAGCTGGATGATGACGATATTGAGTTGGAGGGGGGCGATCTTCAGAGTGATAATGATCCGAGTCAGATTCATATCATTGATGGAAGATATTTTATTTGGTCTAAAGGAAGTTTGTAAGTTTTTTATTTATAACTTTTTATTTAAGTATACATTTTCGTTTTAATATAATTTTATATTTAATGCTAATTCAAATTATTCTTGTTTAGTTTCGGACCGATTCGGACTGCTGCCAAGATTGTAAGTTATGTAATTCAGCAAAAGTATATGCAATCTTGGAAGAGTTTTAAAGAAGTTCTAGATAAAGAAGCTTGGTTCAAGTTATTTCATGTATAATTTATTTATTTTTTAAGTTATTGTTATTTAAATCTTTTTTATTATAATTTCTAACTATTTATTATCATGTCATACAACATTGCAAGAAAAATGTGTGTGGAAAGAAATGAACAAGAGGGACGTTAAAAAAATATATTATGGCGAACATCAAGACGACTTTCTGAAATGCTACGGCGTGCTAGAAAGCGTTGGAAGCTTTTGGGTATCCGTCTCAATTGGATAGGTAAAGAAGTCTTTGAGGAACTTCTTATCTATTGGGATACACCAGGATTTAAGGCTAAATCTAAAAATGCAAAGAAAGTGAGAGGATATAAAAAATGGGGTAGCCTTAATGCGGTTGAAAGTATAAGTATTGCTGAGCATGCTCGACGCATGGTAATTATTACTATATTTTTAAATTATATTTTGATTTATAATATATATTTTTAACTAAATTTAAATTTATTATTTAAGCTAAGAGTTTGGGGAGACTTTCACTAATGATTGAGCTGGTTAAAAAAATCCGGACAAAAAAATTGAGGAGTTTTATTGACGACCGTACACAAAAAGTTATGGTAAATTATTTAATTGAAGTTGTTTTTATTTTTTTACTTAATGGCAACTTCGCCGCGTGATTTTCACGTGGCAAGTGAGATGTGGTGACGTGAAAATCATGTGGCAACTGAGCTGTTGTGGCGTGAAAATTACGTGGTTATATTTCATTCATTATTTAATTTAATTTAATTTAACTTAAATTTTTTATCGTATGTGTAGGAGGATTATCAGACATTGCTCACAGAATTTTTGGTTTATAATCCTGAATATACTCCAAGAGGTTTAGAGTCACTTCATCCAGATGTAGATTTTTATATTTGGAGTAAAGTCAATGGCGGAAAGGAACCTAACGAGTGTTTTTTTTTGTGGTGGAAAATTAACGAACACCTATAAAAGAGGTGATAGAACTTTATTTCAAAGAGTTAAAGACGGGGAAGGATCGTCGCGTCCACCACAATTGACGCTGGAAATATAAGAAACAATAAGACAATTGCGATAACTGAGGCGAGACGCGAGTCAGCGCAAGGTGAGGCGACAATGAAGGCCGAGTCAGCGTAACGTGAGGCGGCAATTAAGGTCGAGTTAGCGTAATGTGAGACAGAAAATGAAGGGCCAAATGGATTGAAAATGGAGGCGGTGGCGAAGTGGCAAGCTAAAATAGAGTCACAATTGTGGCAATTTATGCAATTCTAAAGTAGGGGTAATCAATTATTTGGTGAAAATGAAGAAATGATGGTCAAAAACATATGGATGAGAAGAATAATAAAGACGATTTTAACCTTGATCCATAGAATTTATTTAATTTTGTCTTTAAGTTTTAATTTGCGCAAGGTACTAATTAAAATTTTTTAGTATATTATTTAGTATTTAGTTTAATGATTTATTTTAATTTAAAAAAATTATATTTAATATTTAGTTTATTTAATTTATTTAGTATTAATGGTTTATTAGTTTATTTAATTTATTTAGTATTAATGGTTTATTAGTTTATTTAATTTAAATTTATTTAGTATAAATTAATATATTTAATAGTTTAAGAATTTATTTTAAAAAAAATAGATTTAGTGACGTGATTTTCATATTACAAATTTAGGACATGAAAATCACATCGCAAACTATTGATATCAGATTATTATTAGTGACGTGATTTTCATATTAAAAATTTGTCATGAAAATCACGTCGCTAATATCCTGCAATTTCTGACTTAACATCTGCTCTGTCTGCTCGCACTGAAATGCTATGGATATCTGTGCAAAGTGTTGCGACGTGATTTTCAAGTCACAATTTTGTGACATGAAAATCACATCACTAATAAATTGACACACGCTCTCCTACGACATATTTAGTCACGTCGCAAAAAATATTTGTGATGTGATATTAACTGTTGTAACGTGATATTTACGTCACAAATGATAATATTTTTTGTAGTGACCAGAATAATGTGGTTATATACCATCAAATTCAAGAGTGGGACTCTTGAAGTATTCAAAAGATTCAAAATATTGATTGAGAAAGAAAATGCAAAAGAAATAAAGATCTTGATAATTTATGGTAGAGGAGAGTATACATTGAAAGAATTTTAGCTATTTCGTACCAATCAAGGCACTTAGCTCATGAAGTCACTTCACATTATACTCCTCTATACAATGGTTTGACAGAAAGAAGAAAGAAGAAATAGAACCATGATCGATATTGTCAGAAGCATGCTAAAATAGAAAAACATGCCTTATAAGCTTTGAAGAGAGGCAATCAACACAACTATATTCTAAATAAGTGTCCACTAAAAAACGAAAAATGAGAGTGCTTGAGAAAGCATGGAGTGAAATAAAATCAAGTGTGAACCACCTAAAAGTGTTTGGCTCACTATTTAGATGTCCAGTTTGAATTTCATGAAATTCAAAAATGTTTTGGCAGTTTCAATTTATGCAAGTAAGGGTTGGATGTTTGTTTCTTTGACTATGAATGAGTTTGGATTAATCTTCAATTTTTTTTAATAATAACTCATGTTTTAAAAATATATATATAATTATATTTCTGAAAAAATTACGTAAATGACTATGTGAATACACATAGCACCTATAAACATGGTTATTTATATATTTTTTTAAATTGTTAAAAAGAATTTATCAATACTCATTCTTAACTTTAAACAAATTCATTAGAAAAACATGAGCTTGAGGCCTTGGCTTTCTTCTTGTTTTAATTTCTAAATTTACACCAGCATGATATTCATATTTTTTTACAATCCAAAAAAATATATATCTAAAAGTCGCTTAAGTCACAAATATCATTTTTCTCTTTGACTTAGACACTTTCAAATACATAAAATAAATATTTTAATAATATAAAACTCACTTTTGATTATATCTACAGCATCCTAAATCTTATATAACATATCAAAATAATATTTCACTAGTAGGATAGATAGGACAAAGCATTAGAAACTATTTATAAAAAGTTGAAGACTAATCAAAATCTAACAAGTAAAATATGATAAAAAATGTTATGTAGTAGTCTCATTGGAAACTACTAACTAATAAAACACATAAGAGGGAGCAAGTTTAGAGACAAATCAGTGACTCATTACAAATTCATCTGTCACTGACATTTCTGCAGTACTTGTTAAATGATAATAATTTATCTAGAACTAGAAAAGCTACAATTGACATTATGATAATTGAAATAAAATTTAGAAGTTTCCAGTCTTAAAATCAAATCATAAGGGACCGTTTTTCACTCAAGAATATTTCTCTAACACAAGACTATGTTGTCAGATACTGAATAGAATGAATAAATAATCTATTTGGAACGTAAACCAGGGACATTTCCAAGACCCATCTTGCGAAGGATTTGTTTAGAGATAGCTGGAGGGGTATCAAGCCCCATGCATTTACTGAATTCATTTGCAAGCTCCACTAACTTTTTCTTATCTTTCCCCACTTTCTTATTAGAATTGTAGTAACCAAGCCATGCTTGATATGCTTTTTCTTTATTCTCCATCTCCACATTGGACATAGCCCTTTCCACCTGTCAACAGTTCAGAATGTATGTTAGTGCATGTTTCGAATCACAACATGTTTGACAAAATCACAATCATGTATTGCTCTACGGATTGGTTTGTTTGTCTAAAAACTTGACAAATACCTTTTTCTTAGTGTCAGGATCGACTGAAGGTACCCGAGCTTTCCCAATTGGCAAATCTTTTGTGGAATCTAAAAAGAACTCTTCCCAAGGAGCTAGTAGCAGTATGCCCTGTCCTTCTTTTCCTTTTCGACCCGTTCTACCTAGTCGATGTATATATTGTTGTTTATCGGTCGGTAGGCCAACCTGAGCATTCGACAAATAAAGGAAACATGAAAATTAAAATTAAAAGTATTATATAATTAATATGTGATCAAATCATAACTGAAGGATTGCACTTTTAGCAAATGAGCGTAATGAGTTTCCTTTTAAACATGCAGTGAACAAAACATAAATCCATATGAGACTGGCGCGATCAGGCTGATAATATTGTAGTAGAAGTGAAGCAGGGAGGAGTTCCACATATATTACCTGTACAACAAGAGTAACATCCGGATAATCAACTCCACGTGCGGATACATCTGAAGTAACAAGGATGATACCCTTTGACCTGCGGAATTCATCAGAAATTCTGGTTCTATAACTCTGAGGCTTTCTTGAATGGATTTCTCTGACATTCAAGTTCAACCTCCCAAGAAGATCAGAAACAAGTCTTGTGACCATGGCAGTTGTGCAGAAAACAAGAACCTGATAAACCAATTGCTACATTAGATACCCTCCTCCATAAACATGTGAAACATGATGGTTAAAGTAAAAATGGGTGGTCAAATCACAGTTTATAAACTAAGCAAGCAAAGAACTGATCCAAAATATAATTATTTTTAGTTTTGTAACCATGTTGTGTCTAATAGTGAAAGAACAAAGAGCCTAAAATACAGTTGTTTGCAGATTAGAAAGCAAACCTTATAGTCAACATCAGCAGCAATGTGCTCCTTCAGAATAGCATAGAGTAAAGAGAAATGCTTGTCTAATGGGGCAACTAAATACATCTGGTTAACCTGAAATAATTCAAAGCCCCATAAATAAAGATCTTAAAAAGATTTTGTATGCTGTCTAGTGCATATGTGCATGCATTACCTTGGACCTGCATATACACGTGATAATTAAGATATGTATATAATTTGAATTATATTTTGTCTAGTGCATATGTTCCTGGAAATATCGTTATAGATTTATAGATTAGTTTGCTGCTTTTTATCCCTATAATCAAGGGATTTGATTGTAATTACTTGGTTATAAATAACAAGACTGGGAGTAATTTCTCTCAAGCAATTCAAACAAATTCAATCAAGTTGGTATCAGTCCATTGAATCAAAGTTGATGATTTTCATCCCTACAAATTGTGTTGCGATATTTGGAAGAAAGCTTGAGATGTATATTTGAATGATGTTCAACATCTCTCTACACCTCCATCTAATTTACTTTTCATAACTAATCTCATAACTAATTTACTGTTCAGATGATAGATCAACATCTCCCATCATACCTGAACAAAGCACAATTTGTCATTGATGAGATCATTTTGCGTTTGACCAGTATTGATCTTACCAAGACAATCAGCAACTTGATAACAAGTGCATGGTGTTACTCCTTCGTGGCCATCACAGAAATTTTGAATATGTGTTAAACCAAATTCTGATGAATCATATTGTTGCCACTACAGAAGTTGTTATTCGCCTGCCTGATGTGAGTCCCTCATTCAGAGGTTGTGTCAGGAGTAGAATCTCAACCAGGTTTAGAATCTTCGCCTTTGTAATAGACGCGGAGGTCGGGGCCAGGTAATGGAAGAGGTAGTTATTATTAGAGATATATATAGCTTGTTATAGGGCTTATTTTCCTAGTAATTACTTTGTACAGCTGGCATAGGGTTTGTTATAACCTAGCCTCATCTCTCCCTTATATATAGGGATCATTTGTACTGTTAATAAATGTGATGAAATACGATAACAGAATTTCTTCATCTCTCTCCTTTCTTGCATTATTAACATGGTATCTTGAGCTATTTTCTCGATCTAAGTGCTTCCATGGCATCGCCTTTCAGCACTGAAGGTGCTTTTCCTTCATCTCATGTGAAACTCTCACATCTCATCTCTGTCAAATTAGATGAGAAGAATTTCAAACAGTGGAACAGCAAATCGAAGGCATTATTTGTGGTCATCGTCTTCAACGGTTCGTTACTGTACCGTGTGTTCCACCGCGTCTTCTTCCCGGCGCCGATTCAGTCACCGGCGGTGCAAATCCAGATTACCTTGATTGGGAACAGCAGGATGCACTTATCTGCACCTGGCCACTCTCCACGATTTCCGATTCTCTTCTTCCGAAACTTGTCGACTGTACGTATTCGTGGCAAGTATGGTCAGAAATTCACCGTTACTTCAATACTCTGCTCACCACCAAGGCGCGACAGTTGCGATCTGATCTTCACAACCTGAAGAAAGGTTCGTGTTCCATTGCTGAGTTCGTGGTTCACGTTCGTGACATCAGCGAAGCGTTGGTGTCAATCGGAGATCCAGTTCCTCTCCGTAATCTCATTGAGGTAGTTCTCGATGCTCTTCCTGAGGATTACGATCCTATTGTTGCTGCGATTAACAGTAAAGACGAGCTGTGCTCTCTTGATGAACTTGAGTCTAGTCTCCTTGCGCATGAATCGCGACTTGAGAAGAATCGCAAAGCTGTGATTACTGAACCGGTATCTGTTAATACGGCTCAAGCTCCACCGTCTTCAGTGTCGCACTCGACTGAGCACTCAGGTTCTGATTCCAACTCTGAATTTCCCACTGGTACCAGTCATGTGACTGCTAATGCTGAAAATCATAGCACTAGCTCTCGTGGAGGCAGATATGGCAGTGGCGGTGGTGGCCATTTTGGCAAGCTTCCGTGTCAGATTTGCCACAAACCTGGACACGATGCCTCTGTGTGCTATCATCGTGACACTTACTCTGGAGCACCTTCATACTCAGCTCTACGAGCTCCCTTCAATCCCTACACAATGGCTCCACGTCCCTCTTTCCATCCATCCTTTGGATCTCCTTCGACTCCACGTCCCGGTTTCCCTCCCCTACTGTCCATCATATCCCTCCCTTAAATCATGTCAGTCCTGCTATTACTCCTCCAAACAATCCATCCTCACCCATTAATTCTGCTGGCTCTTCCTCTGATGAACAGTCTCTGAATGCATCTGCTAACTCTCCAGCTACTACTACTGCTACTTCTAGTGTTTCCCCTCCTGTATCCTCATCTCAGCCTAGTTCACCCTTACCTAATTCTATCTTTTCTGATCTAGCAGAAGCAAGCACTCTCTCTCCCTCTTCCTTACCTCAATATGATTCTACTGCTAGTCCTGCTTCTATCCCTCCTCTTCTCTATCCTCAAAATGTTCACTCTATGCAAACTAGAGCTAAGAGTGGTATTGTCAAACCTAGGCTCATTCTCACTCATATGGAACCCACATCTGTTAAACAAGCCTTGACTATCCCACACTGGTTTCAAGCTATGCAGGATGAGTATCATGCCCTTTTGAAGAATCACACATGGACATTGGTGTCTCCATCTGATTCTAAAAGGCCCATTGGATGCAAATGGGTCTTTAGGGTCAAGGAGAACCCTGATGGATCCATTAATAGATACAAGGCAAGACTGGTTGCCAAAGGATTCCATCAACAGGCTGGTAGTGACTTTACTGAGACTTTTTCTCCAGTTGTCAAACCTGTAACAGTTAGAACAGTGCTCACACTTGCAGTTACTAATCAATGGTCAATTAAGCAGATTGATGTTAATAATGCTTTTCTCAATGGTGTGCTTGAGGAAGAGGTATACATGATTCAGCCTCCTGGGTTTGAAGCAGCTGATAGGTCATTGGTTTGCAAGTTGAATAAAGCACTGTATGGGCTAAAACAGGCCCCCAGGGCCTGGTTTGACAGACTTAAGAGTTCTCTGGTGCAGCAGGGTTCAAGGCAAGTAATGCGATCCCAGTCTATTCTTCTTCCACAGTGACAGTTTTACCATTCTGACTCTGGTTTATGTGGATGATATAATCATCACTGGAAATTCACCATCCTTTATTGCCAGCCTAGTCAAGAGTCTCAATAGTCAGTTTGCTCTCAAGGACCTAGGGCAACTACACTAGTTTTTTGGGATTGAGGTCACTCATATGCCAAATGGATCTCTTATTCTCTCACAAACCAAGTATATTACTGATTTACTTGCAAAGGTTAACATGGCTACTGCTAATGGCATGCCTACGCCTATGGTGCCTAGCAGCAAATTGTCTAAATTTGGTTTTGTTACTGTCGCTGATCCTACACAGTACAGATCTATTGTTGGTGCCCTGCAGTATGCTACTTTAACTAGGACCGAGCTGTCCTATTTTGTTAACAAAGTGTGCCAGTTCCTGTCAAATCCTTTGGAGGAGCATTGGAAAGCAGTTAAGAGAATACTCAGGTATCTCAGTGGCACACTAAATCATGGTTTGTTACTTCAGCCTGCTCCCAAACATCAGCCTTTATCCCTACTGGGTTTCTGTGATGCTGACTGGGCAGCAGACCCAGATGATAGAAGATCCACATCAGGTGCTTGTGTTTTCCTAGGTCCTAACCTAATTTCCTGGTGGTCTAAGAAGCAGCAGTTGGTAGCAAGGTCCAGTGCTGAGGCAGAGTATAGAAGCATGGCTCAACTGGCTGCAGAATTGTTGTGGATTCAATCTCTTCTTCATGAACTTCAATGCAGATTTCAGATTCCTAGAATTTTCTGTGACAACCTAAGCACAGTAACTTTAGCTCAAAATCTTGTGCTTCATAACAAAACTAAGCACATGGAATTAGACATCTTTTTTGTGAGAGAAGGTTCTAAATAAAAGCTTAACTGTGGCTCATGTGCCTGCCCAGGATCAGTGGGCAGATGCACTGACAAAACCTCTTTCTGCTGTGAAGTTTCTTCCTCTGAGAAACAAACTCAGAGTTGTCAACAAAAGACAGTTACTGGAAGCACCCTCCGCTTCTAAGGGGGACTATTAGAGATACATATATATAGCTTGTTATAGGGCTTATTTTCCTAGTAATTACTTTGTACAGCTGGCATAGGGTTTGTTATAACCTAGCCTCATCTCTCCCTTATATATAGGGATCCTTTGTACCGCTAATAAATGTGATGAAATACGACAACAGAATTTCTTCATCTCTCTCCTTTCTTACATTATTAACAGTCATGGAGCTGGGAATGGTCATCCTCAATGCTCACATGATAAACGCATGGCCACATGGAACACATACTAAGGATAAATCTTTGCATTCGATGATTAAAAATGCATTGTTATTAGAGGATAAACCCAACTTATAAGCAATGCATTTATCTTGTTGTCTATGTGGATAGCGGCATTTGATTTAGCACTTCCGATCCAAGGCCTTAGGTCAACTGAAACATTTTCTAAGAATTGAAATAGCTCAGTCAAAGTTGGGGGTTGGCATCTCCTAGAAGAAGTAGGCTTTTGATAATGTTAGATTGCAATCCCATTAACACGCCTATAGATCCAAATACCAAGCTTTTTCCAAACCATGGGGAGTCGTTTTCAGACTTGGGTAGATAATGAAGGTTGATTGGGAAGCTGAACTACCTTACTATGTCTAGACCTGACACATCTTTACCTATCAGTGTTTTGAAATTAATTCCTTAATTCTCCCATGTGATAGTCATTGAGATAAAATAGATAGGATCTTGAGATATATAAAGGGGTACCCGAGAAGAGGAATAATTTACGAGAAAGAGGCCACGCTAATATTGCTGCATATACAAATTCAAAATAGGTTGGATGTTCTAGTGTTCGACATTTAACTTCTAGTTAATGTGTCCTTATTGGAAGGAATCTAATTTCTTGGAAAAGCAAGAAGCGAAGTGTTGTTGCTAGATCTAGTGCAAAAAGGCTGAGTAGCGGGCTATGATCCACACTGCTTATGAACTTATTTTGTTTAAACAACTCATTGATGAGTTAAAGTTTGTAAGTTTGACCCAATGAGTCTCATTTTTTATCACAAATGTAAATATAACATCTGATCTTGTCTTCCATGAGCAGACTAAACACACAGAAATTGTTTGTCACTTTAGTCAAAAGAAAATTATTTTTGGACAAATAGTTACATCATTTGTCAACTTTAATGATCAGTAGGCTATGCTTGATATTTTTACCAAGTCTTTTAGAAAGCTTGACGCGTATGATATATATGCACCTGCTTGAGGGGAGTGCTAAGATATGCATATATGGTTTGAATTGTATTCTGTTATGTAAATATCTATATAGATTAGGTTAGCTGGCTCTTATCCCTATAATAAAGGGATTTGATTGTAATGATTTGGTTATAAACAATAGGGCTGAGAGTAATTTCGCTCAACCAATTACCTTTGAATGTGTCTCCTCAGTACCCTCCTGAACTGTAGAAATAAATTCAAAATCCTTTCTCAATGCAATGTTACAGACTTGATGCACCTTCACAACAATAGTATGTTAATAAGCAAAATATCCATATTTTTATAAAGCATTAAGCATCGTAACTAAAAATGAAAAGGACAAAAAAGAAAGAAATACAAACCGACTCCGGAACAGTTGCAGAAAACATAAGTGTTTGTCGTTGTTTAGGGACTGCAGCAATTATTTTCTCAATATCTTTGCGAAATCCCATGTCTAGTAAATGATCAGCTTCATCGAGCACCAAGGCCTTCACCCCCATTAGCCTAGATGCAAAACCGGCAGTATTATCAATGTGATCTCTAAGCCTTCCAGGTGTAGCAACAAGGATCTGTACAAAAAACAAACAAATCTACTTCTTTTCTTTCTTGACGTATGCAAAATTAGTTTAAAAAAACCTGAGCTCTAACTGATTATGAAAATAAGTTTTAGATATTTTTATTTATTGAAAAAAACTAAATCCATCCAGCAGTGACGGCTACAACATATAAGCACGAATAACAATAATCACAATATTCTGCATCTTTATGTCAGGAAGTTTAGTAAAGTGTAAATAATTCAGAATCTTTTCATTTGTTTGATTATTTGTCTTATGTAAATGCAAAATAATTTTTTTGGTGGCAAAGAAAGAACTCACCTGGCAAGGATTTGATTGCATATGTTTCTGTTCTGAACTAAGATTTGTTCCTCCAATCACAACTTGAGCACCAATGGTGGGATGATACTTAAGCAGTTTAGTTGCTTCTGCAGCAGCTTGACAAGCAAGCTCTCGAGTTGGGCAGATGACAAGAATAAGAATCGGTGTCCGCTTTTGACCACGATCAATTGGTGGAGACTTCACAACAAGTTCAATCGATGGAAGCTGAATTATATAAATACTTCAAAAATGAGTACAAACTATCATTGCTTACCACAAAAGCAATAGAACAATCAATTAGTTTCTACATCACAGATTGGTGTTGTTAGTAACAACAGATTCGCTATATCATAATAAAATATCAAATAATAAAAACCAATGAATTACGTAGAGAAATCCAAATCAGTGGATTGCTTATTTCAAAGGTAGCTTAGACGATTACGTGTCCACTCTACATAACTTAACTGAATTGACGCTTACAAAAGAATTTGTAAAAAATACGAAGAAAAGTGGCAATGATAATTGACAGATCGACCATTATTTACGAACACACTAAAACAAAAACACAAATTAAGAGAATTACCAAAAAGGCTACTGTTTTTCCCGTGCCTGTTTTAGCTTTAGCCAAGACATCCTTACCTAGAAAAGTTAATTGGGGTAAGGGCACCATCATAGATTAACTCAAGATATACAAGAATAATGTTCAATCAAATCAGAAAGAGGATACTTCCTTGCTTAATTAATATTATCAATTAGAATAGCTCCATGTTTTGAAAACACATTAATGACATAGTTAAATAGTTAAACGATAGCAACAAAAACTATACAACAACAACAACCAAGCCTCAACCCATTAAGTGGAGTCGGCAACATGTATCAACTTTTGTCATAACATTCTATCCAGGACCATGTTTCTAAGTTCTATCCAAATCATTAATCTCGAGATCTTTTTGAATAACTTCTCTTATAATTTTTCTAGATATTCTTCTACCTCTACCTGTTTGACTCCTATTCATATGAGCTACTTTCCTTACCACATAATCTACATGTGACAACCACAAAAAATGACACTAGCTAGTATCTAGAACTACTAAAAAAATTGTTCAAAACAAAGAACAAACCTTCTAGAATAGCTGGAAGTGTTGCCTCTTGAACAAGAGTCATTTTCTCATATCCAGCATCCTTGATTCCTTTTAATGACAAGGGCGAAACCGAACATTTATCGAATCTGCATCATCATATCTCAATAATCAAACAAACAGAATACAATACCAATATACATTCATTAAGCATAATACAAAATACCAGTTAACCTATAATTTACAAAGCAAGAACACAACACAATAGAATGCCATATAAAAGCATAATTTAAGGCAAAAAACTAGAATCACTTAACCTGGAATCACTTAAATAAGAATCAGTTACGACAATACTTCCAGAACCACCGTTAACATCACCGCCTTTGTTCAAATTTACTTCTTCTACGACCTCATTGTTGGTAGTTTGAAACCTTTTTTTTGAACTTCCATTAGGTTTCCCATTTTTCAAGTCACGGTTTTTCCTCTTCCGTGAGCGGGAGCCGGAGTTTTTGTCCGCCGCCGCGTTCTGGGCAGCAGGGTTCATGGTCTCGGCTGCGGACTATACTTGCGAGACTGGCGGTATATATAGTAAAGAGAAGACTCAAATTTCGTCTCTTAATTCACGTCTTGTATACTTTATTTTACGGCACTAACTACTTTGTTTCTCGAATAGTTAATTAATTATAAATAATTAGCACCCTATTTAAAAGAATTATTAATATTGGACAAATTATTAACTATTAAATTTTAGGTTAGATAAATTAAAAAGGTAGTTCACAAAATTTAATGTCGTGGAATTTTAGAATTAATGTGTGGTGATATCAGTTTTTATTTGAGTCATTTTTGTTAATTTAATGTCGGTCCCGAGGAGTATAAGAGATGTAATAGTAGTCTAATGATAAAATAGGCGATTATAAAGTCATTAAAGGATAGTTATAAGTAGTAATAGACGGTTATGTTACTATGGTAATTAATCATGGCTATTCAATAAGAATCAAAGCTCGTGCTATATATAAGTCTATAGGCTAAAGGAAAAAGGATTTCTCCCACCTCTCTCTCATTACGAGTCTCTCTCTACAACATCTAGATACAGACACAATACATCATATCTAGAGATTCCCGTATGAAGGATAAGCAAGATACTATCTCTTGGGTCAATGTTTATCACTGTGATAGCACCCAAATCCCTCAATCATCCCATAAACTCACTCCAGTAGGCTCTCCCTAGCAACCTCCAAGAAAATCGGTCGAATATTTGTTCCAGACAGGAACATTGGCGCCCATCGTGGGGCCTCGGTGAAATTATTCCCAGTCTACACGACAACTTCACAAAAGTAACTTTCACGTTACTCTGGCCAAAAGAGTATGAAGGTCTGTTCACTTGCTACTTGGGCTATGTCAACGGGTACACCTACATCCTATAGAAAGATGCCCAGATGACATGCATAGCCTTGACATGGATCTTAGCCAGACTCGACAATTTTGGCTAGGGGACCATTAGCCGGTAAACAAGATAAGTAAATAATCACCCCGCCTCATACAGGCTTGGGGCTCTTATAATAAATACCATCGTTGATTTCATAAAATCAGCCAAAGGTAATGCAAAGTCGGGTACCTTATATCCAGACACTTACTCTCATATACTTCGTATCCGGAAGACCCTGCTTGGAAAAAGATCACGTCGCAAGTGTTCAGGCACTTATAAATGACAAAAAAGTGAAAACAAATAAATTAGCAGATGAACTCTCTTGGTTACGTTACAACCCGGACAAAATACTTCACTTCAGTGAACTATATGCCTGGAAGACTCCACGTATAATCCTGCGAACTTCGTGCCCGAAGGGCTTAATGTATACACTCGGAATATCTTGTCTAGATCGGGATATGAACTCGATTAAACACTAAGGGGATCTATACGCCTATTAAAAATCCTCTCGGGTTAAAAACAAAGACCCCTGTCCAATCGACTCAAAAGTCGTGATAAACAAACGTTAAATTCACTACTTTGTCATACTGCCAAAGATAGTCTAATCGGTGACTGACTAAACAGCCCAAAAGTATGAAACATCTTGCGAAAATATTGGATATAGACCTCGGTAAGCATAAGTGTAAAACGGGGTAATCGAACCCTTTACTTATACTAAAGTCGGTGAGCTATATCTTCGACATGAGCATAAATGCATACCTACAAGGTACTAAACTCAAATAAGCATAAGCACAGTGCGATAGAAAGAAATTATCTAATGTGAAAAGTTTACATAGGTCGGGATATATTTAAAAACACTTTTCCCTTGCCCTTATTGGCCTCGTGCTTTTGGGGCTTATGTATATCCCAGAATATTTATATCAAGATCGAGGTATGAACTCGGATAAATGATGATGTGCGAGGTCATCCCTGAAAGAGACCGGTGTCAACTACTTAGTTAGGCCCAGCTGGGTATGAGCTCGGCACAGTACCGTCTATGTACAGGAAGTCGGTCCCGAGGAGGACAAGAGGTGTAATTGTAACCTAATGATAAAACAGGCGGTTACGAGTGTTACAAAGTCGTTAAAGAGCGGTTACAAGCATTACAAGTATTAATGGACGGTTACGTTATTATGGTCATTAATCATGACTATTCAATAAGGATCAAAGTCCATGCTATGTATAGGCCTAGAGGCCAAAGGAAAAAGGATCTCTCCCACCTCTCTCTCTCTCTCATTACGAGTCTCTCTGTACAACATCTAGAGACAGATACAATACATCATACCTAGGGGCTCCCGCATGAGGGATAAGCAATATACCATCTATTGGGTCAATGTTTATCACTATGGTAGCACTCAAATCCCCCAATCATCTCATAAACTCACTCTGGTAGGCTCTCCCTAGCAACCTCTAGGGGAGTTGGTCAGATATTTGTTCCAGATAGGAACAACTCTAATACTTACTATTCCCTTTGTTCCTTTTTAAATGTCACTTTTGGAATAATTTTTTATTCTTTTTTAATTTTCGCTTACAAAGTTCAAGGTAATATTAATTGCACTTTTGTCAAAATTACCCCTGATCATTTATTGTTGAGAGAGAAAAAGTCAAATGTATGTGATAAATAATTAAGGATATTATCGGTAAAATAAAACTTATTGTTTAAAAAGTAACAACAATGATTATCTTTCTTGGTATGTGGAAAAAATTTAAAAGTGACAATTATAAAAGAACAAATGGAGTATAAGAGTAGGGTTGTAGTACATGATTAATTATAATCAATTTATTTTGGGAATTTATTAATGCACACCGTGCTACAATACAATTATGCCTTTAGGTTTCGGAGATGCATCTTCAGACGCACCAAAAGTATACACATTACTAAACAAGATCGTAAATCAGTGGAAGAATGATCTGAAGATGCATTTACATAAAGCTTATGTAGTTACATCTCTAGAAGCACCCTAACTTTAGTGCATGTGTTGATATAAGACCAAATGTCACACAAAATTATTTCGGAGATACATCTCTGACATCCTTACGTAAATGTATCTCTGGACGATATTGTCTCAAATACGTGACATCGTCCCTTCGCCTTCCTCACTTTCAAATACTCATTTTCTTCAAACACTCCCAAACCTCATTGTGTGAAACTTCATCAGTCTTCATCATACAACAATCAAGCTTCATCAAACATCAATATTCAAACTTCATCAAGCATCAAGAATCAAGTTTTTGAGAGAATTTGTAAGCTTTTTTATAAAAAAAAGTTAATGTAAAATAGTTTAGAACTTGAGTTTTAGGTTAGAGAATTGAAAGATTTTAAGTGTTTGTTAGCTTAGAACTATGGTAGAACGTTTAAGTTAGGTTGTTTTGATGATCAATGACATTTTCTTGAGGTCCTTAGACCCTGCAATCCGCCATTGACGGTGAATGAGGTTGCAGGAATTTCTGGAGATGCATCTCCGAAATTTTCAATGTTTACATGACAACCGGAGATGCATCTCCCGAATAAGTCTGCCTGCATTTTTTCCTATGTTTGAACATGAGTCATTGTGTAATGTTTATTTTGTCCTTTTACAAGAGTTGTGGTTGATAGACAATCCAAGTTGAGACACAACAGAGTTGCACAACATGCTTCGGTTTGGAGGGAAAATAGTCAAGCATCTCAACTTCTTCTACCTCTAGACTGGTTGTTGCGAAGGTGGAATTAGGTTTCAAGATTCATGTTTCTCCGCCTTCTTCTTCATCCTCCCGCAGCAGGAGAGGTTCTCCTACTCGCGCATCTCCGCCTCCATCTTCATGTAGACGCACGAGCTTGCCTTTGCAGGTACCTGAGGAAGGAAAGACATCACAATCCCAAGCCACACATGAGGTACCTCAGTTTGTGTCCCAGGAGACACTTGAGACAAGAGAGGCATCCTAGCCTCAAGCTCAGGCATATAAGGTCGCACCTGCTGCACCTCAGAGTTTTGAAGGAGAGTCGCCTGACTTATCACTGCTGCCTCTTTACCTAGACCATGTTGTCATACATATCTGGGACAGAGAGGTAAAAATTGGTTGGAATTATTCATTTAAAAATGTGTTTATGTTTTTTGAATCATTCTTGTTAAACCATGTATGCAGGAACGTGATCCACTAAAAAACACCAATCATATACGGAAGATCAATCGACTAAAAGAGCCCAATGAGCGGTGGTTTCAGGATGTGTTGTAGCTATCAGGGTTGAAAGATTTGAGTCAGACTGGTTATACTACAATTAATCATCGTATGATTAATGCTTTTGTAGATAGATGGCATACAGAGACGTCATCCTTCCATCTACCACATGGTGAGATGACTATCACACTTGACAATATCGCATGACGGTTGCATCTTCCAGTTAGGGGGGGATTTTTAGATTATTAGAAGTGTGACAAAGAAGAGAGACTTGAGTTGATGGTAAAATACTTAAGAGTTACCCTAGAGAGTGTTATGAAGGAGTTGGACAAGACCCGCGATGCTCATGCTAGGTTTATCTATTTGCACAAGGTGTTTGAAAAATAGATAGTGAGAGTGTTGTACCCCAAAATTTTCCCTATTACTTATCATGAATTTTCTCACAAGATCTCCTTTGGATCAAGACTGCATTTGGGTTGATCAGCTCAACGCACCTCCTCAAGCACTGATGACTGAAAATTAGGGTTTGAGATTGCACAAGGATTTTTGAACTTATAATGCCCCATATGACTTTAATGGATCATTATGGACCCCCAAGATTACTCATGTTAAGTTTCAAGCCTTGGATCACACTTTTGATCAGTCAATTGAACAGTTGACCTAAAAATCAGTTGTATTGGGGAAAAAGTCAACCATGGACAATTTACAGTCAAACTTCATATTTTTTTATCCACACTAACATTTTGAACTCATATGTATCATTTGATCAAGTTTGGACCACAATTCCTCAAGAAATTTGATCAAATCATCAAAAGGGCAAAATGGTCAAAATTAGGGTTTTGACTGAGAAAGGGCAATTTCTGGTTTTTCACCTAGCAAATAATAAATTGGGTTAAGGAATTATCTCAAGAGTCGAATTGCAT